GATCTATCACACGAGGCAAGATCATGGTTTTGTAAAGCAAAAATGGATTATACTTCTACAATCCATATCTTAAATCTAATCTTCTTAAATTCATTGCTGAGTAATCAGTGGTGAAAAGTAAGCAGTTTTGGCACCTTTTGCTTATATATTCAGTGCTTTTGCTGAAAGATGAATCTAAGCTGCATAGAGCTCTCATCGTTTCTCTGTGCCAAGATGCAGCAAGTAATTATTTGCCATGGCTACACCCAGTTACATTTTTGCTTTACAGAATAATATTAATTCCGAAATATTGAATGTATTATATCTAGTACTGAACTGTAGAATGTGCAAGTACTCTTTTGTTTTCCCTTTAGGGTACTCATGGACATTTCTATATTAACTTATGCTTCTGATTCTGAGGTGAATAGCTGTTGGATTGGTGACTGGTAAAGCCTGCCCATTACACTGCCCATTACATGAATGGCTTTAGAATTAAGAACAGAACAAGGTAAGGGTATGTGTATATAAGCTCTACCAGGAAGGCAGTGATATGTTGGATTAAACTTTTTATTTTTATTTTGGTGGTGTATGAATACTGGATAGTAATAGAATGAATAAAATAAATCAGGAATCTATGTAGTAAAAATAAAATCAATGGATTCCATATTTTGTCCATTCTTAAAGTTTTTTTATCTTAGTATATTTCATTCATTAGTAAAAGCAATAAAGGATTTCCTACCTGTCAGCACTAAGCACAGTCAATGTAAATACAGATACACCAACAGATGTGAGCTGTATAAAAGAGATGACTTTGCAGCCAATCCTTCCAAAAAGCCATGTGTCCACCATATACCTAGAGGCGTCCACTGGAACACATGTCAGCAGAAGAAGCAAATCTCCGAAAGCAAGGCTGGTGATGAAAATATTGGGAACCGTTTGCATGGACTTAATCTTGAAAAATACTTTGATAAGTATGATGTTCCCTAGGAGACCAACTGAAATGATAAGAGCATATGTGACAGAAATAGTTGCCAGGACTTCCAAACCAGGGGACAAATCCACACTCTCTTCACGGTAGGAAACGGCACTGTCGTTCCATGATCGGAAAGAGACGGTGCCATTAGCAACAAAGGCAGGCGTCTGGTTAAATGGTGGAAATTTTGCAGTCATATTCTTTTCCATTGTGAGAGTAAGTATTTTTTCACTCTTAAAAGTACACACCGTGTAATGTCAATTTCATAAGCTGCATCATTTCAGTCACTAATGGAAAGATTCTAAACTCAGAGTTTCACCTGATGCAATAAATTCCTCACGCGCTCCCCCTGAACAGAGAAGTGTTTTCAGTACCCATCAGTCTTCCAGAGTGCTTAGATTATTTCTCACAATTCAGTACTGAGTAGTGTGGGAGGTGCTGCAAATTAATACTGAATTTCCACAAAGGAATCCTGGGAAATGAGTCCTGCATATTACTGCCAGTTAAATCAGGGTTTTTTTTTCTGCTGGTGATTATATAAATTTTAAGCACATTTATACAGCATCACTTTATTTTGTGAATTGTTCTGGCTGTCTTTTAACCAGATATAAATAACTCACCCTAAAAAGCTAATGTGCAGTGTTTTGTTAAATTATTCATATGTTTCATGCTTTTTTAACCATACTAGTTATTACTGTCTAGAAGATGTAGGTCAACAATCTGAGAAAAAGAATAAAGAGATATTAATGAACTTGCTTTACAGAACAAAATGTAACCAAGGGTCAGAATGGATTACGGCAGGTTGGGATTAGTGGAAAGGTCACAAAGGTTGTGGCCGAGGATAGCAAGGATTTGGGGGGGTGGCAATCTGACCCTTTTTTAATTTTATTTAAACCCTAAATAGATATGCAAGAATATGAAAAAAAGCAGCATTAGGCTCAATTCACAAAGCTAACACACCAGAATAAGGATACCTATTATCAGAAAAGTGACAGTTATTTTCAGTAAAGTCAGAGTCTAGTGTCCAATAAGATGTAAAAATTACTTAGATACTTAAAGTGTATCTAAACCCAAAAACACATTTTTAATACATTTCTGCTTACTAATTCTTAAATGTGGTGGCTACATTACCTTTTTAGGTTTTTTTTCCCCATTACTTTCACCTGGTGATCCAGCCATAAGCACACTTCATATTTTAGGGTGGCTGCACTTCATGGATAGGCACGGAGCAAGGCTGTGGCAGACATTTTCCAAAGTACAGACCTTAGTGAAGGACACCAAGGAACATTTCAAATTAAAAACCACTCTGTCTAGTCTCTTGCCTAGTTCCACAAGTTCAAATAAGTTATATACTACCGTATAGAGGAGTACAAATCTCAGCAATGCATTTTTTACAGCAATGCAGAATTATACTATCTGATATAGAGGAGTACATATTCCAGCAATACATTATACAGCAGTGCAGAATACAATCAGCTATAGAGGACTACAAATCCCAGAAATACATTATATAGCAATGCAGAATGCCACCAACTATAGAGGACTACAATTCCTAGCAATAAATTGTACAGCAATGCAGAATACCACCAACTGTAAAAGACTCCAAATCCTAGCTTTACATTATACAGTAATGCAGAAAAATATGAAGCTACATACTCTGTTTTGTTTCAGGAACCTCATGCACTTTTTTTTTCATTTTTAGCTGGGAGTCCCTCCTAACATTGCTACCAGACCTAAAGGGTATGGTATGATTTGGGAGGGGGACCACCACACGCTGGGGTTTTTTTCTTTTGTTTACATTCTTTTTTTTTTTGCTTGCTACCTCCAGACAGAAAATAGCAGCAGCATTCGGCTATTCACTCTGCTGTTTGGCCCCTATGAGAATAGGGGTGAAGAGCAGTGAATGAACTGCTGTACGCTCGCCTCAACCAATCCCAGATGTTGGATCGGCTGAAGCGAACGTGTTCTTCACTTCGGCTCAGCTGAACCGAAGTGAGCAGAAGGGAGCCAAAGCCAGCCGATGTACATCCGAAATCAGCTGTACTTGGCTGAAGTGAATAGCCAAACGGCATTCGGCTTCCTTCACTTCGGATCAGTTATGCACTCAGCAGCTGAGTGAATAGCCCCCACAGTGATCACAGCGGCTGCGGTTTACCTGAGGCTAGCTCCATAACGATCATCAGTGTGTAAGTGCAGGCTGCAGCTGACATCCAGCATCAGCCGTGGAAAGGGGCAGAGCGTTTGGGCAACGGGCAGGTGAATAGGTAGTGGGGATGTCTTGAGCCTTCAGCAGGATCCAGGAGGTGGGAGGTGCTGTGGGCGAGTGGAAGTGGAGAGGGAGGTGTGCTGTGATGACCAGGGGTTGGGCTGGCTGGCAACAAAGCAGCTGGCTGAAGAACTGTATATTTTATCATACTTTTTAATCTGTTTCTTTGGGGCTTAATAAAATGGGAGGCTTTAAATGGTGCGGGTATTGGAGAAATGGGTGTGGCCATTTCTTGCACAGGGTACCTAAACGCCTAAGGCCGCCCTGCTTATACATTATTCAGCAGGACACATTAAAAACATAGCAGACAGCAGCTGGCATTAATGTGAAATAATATAACAAATATATAGTAATAACATTCTAAATAGTTAGAGCTGGCCTCATTACTATATAATTAAATACACCTTCAGCTGCATGTGTGAGCCATCATCAGAGAGGAAACTGGAGTATCACTCTTTCATGTGCTGTAGAAGACAAGATTAGACACAAAAACCTCAACAACACTCTCAAAAGTGGCATTTGGCATGTGATGTAATCAGGTCCAATGTGTGTGATCCTATTGGCCTGACAAAGGGATGGACCCTGACAAAATCCTGCTGTACAAAGCTTGTTGAGCGGGACTTAATGATATCACATGTTGGGGTGAAAATGTATGGGCTGATGTGGTAAAATAGATCACATCACTGTTTGGACATGTACATGTAAGGTGTTGGCTACCCAGCTCCTGTAGACCTCTAAATTGTATATCTATAGTTATTTACTATAAAGCAAAAACAAAACACAATTTACTCTATCAATTGATTATTACTTTCAGGTAACAAACATACATTGTAAAAAGAAAATATATTTCAGATTTTTTGGTTGCCCTGGTTGAAATTACAATACATGTTCTTGTCAAGCTAAATAGACATCAATTTTCAAGCTAAGTAGACATGATGTTGGATGAAGAAGGGCATAAATAAAAGGGTTCTGGTCTTCAGTAATAATTGTGATTTTTTTTTTACGTCTTCATTCAGCTTGGAAATAACTCCTACTCTTTGCTTAGATCATTTGTCCGCCTACACACTCTTAGTATCTGAGATTATGAGTAACAGATAGATACTGTAATGTTCAGCTGGATCTAATGCCAGGTTTTAAAGCTCCATGAGCCAAATTCTGCTCAAAACCTACACCTACCTGTAAGATCAGTTGGAATGATTTGGAAAACCTGGAAAAAGATACCTATGTTACCAATGTCAAACAGTCGAATCCTTAGCTTTACTTTTTGGAATACAAGTGCTTGATATGGGCAGTCTATATACTTTTTTTCTCTATATATTTTTCCAGGATTCTAGAAATTGTCATTGGGATTTTTCACTAATAATTATTTCAAATCTCATATGTCAAAAGAACCTGTAAGAACAAAAATATGGGCAGTACAATTATAATTTTTTTTTTTTTTAAGTAAATGCATGACATGTGTTGGAAAGCCTAATATACACATTCTTGTTTCCGGTGAGTGTATCAATATTGTAAAGCAAGGTTACAGGACTGTGTTGATGAGCTTTGGACTTATTTTGATGGCATTAGTTTGATATCAGTTGTGACACTTCTGAGATTTTTTAGAATATATTGATAGGTGCATTTGACCTGCACCTGGCCTTTTTCTTGGCTGCATTTGACCTGCTTCAAGCGGGTTTTGCATTCCAATAGACATGTATGGGAATGCAAAACCTGTCAAATGTGGACAAAAAGCTTGCCAACAAAGGTTTTAAAGATAACAGTCATGGAATTAACATATTAAATATAAGTCAGCTCTGCAAGCTCCCCTATTTCTATCCTGAAAGGTGCTTTGTAAGTCTGACCTTCATGAAAACAAATAAATACATTTGTATCTCTGTTCTGCCACTCTTGTGATTCAGAAACCTCTACACTTTAGACTACAGTTTTTCTAGCTACCCTGTCACCTGACTACTCATTGGTCTACAGTATAATAACACTGACTGACTGTCCAATTAGTGGGCAGGAAGTGGACAGGTGACACAGGAAGCTGCAAAGCTGAAGCAGGTTGACATCTGCCTGGCTTGCAGAGTGGCAGAGGTGTGTGAATCCTAGTTGATCTATTTATGTATCCTAATCATGTATTTAAACTGCACAACTAGCTGCCCCCTGCGTTTTGCTTTAAGGTGGCAATCCCTTGTAAAATGCCTGATTAACCTAACATTCAAATTACTATGTAGATTAGAGTATGATGGTCCAGAGGACCTTCCTGTTTTCATTGGCACCATAGCTTATCTCTATTGAATCATTGGATTAAAGCTTGTTTAAACCTAGTGGAAAATCTTCTAATGACAAAAGTAGTCTCCCAAGGTCCTCTGAAGCCATTATTTGTGCCCCATATACCGTGAGATTGTATGATTGCCATGAAAATGTGTAATTAGTAAAACAATCTTGTGTCTTGCATTGTAGCCTTTACTCCTTGGAATATTCACACGTCATTTGGCTTGATATATGTGCAGTACTGGAAACAACCTAATAACATTTAACCTACTAGCATCAAGCTATTACTGACGTTGTATAGAAGAATGTATCCGGGGACAATCTGATGAAGACCTAGCTTATCGCCACCTTTCACCACAGCAGTTAGTCCTTTGAACCTCTCCGAGGGAGTCTTCCCATTGAGGCATTTTACCAGGCATATTATTCAATGGTTTAGCAGTTTGATCCATCTCTGGCTGTCACTCTACTTCTTTAGTGAAATCAAGCTACTATTTTCAATACTCTCCTACAACATAAAGTGGATTCATTACAAATGGAAGTAAATATTGATTGTTACAGATGTCTCAGTGACTGCTGAAATATCACCTAATGGCAGAATTGTTTATGATTATTTTACCTACCACACTTTGACAACACTGAGCTCTGTCTGACATATGATAATCACGCATGTCAGTTCCCTCCATCCTAACACTACTACAGAAATAATAGAGTTAACAGTCTCTGCAGATTTACCTTCAGGAAAACCATCAGAGAAAAAACAAATTAGATGAATCCACACCTCTTCAAGATGTGTGTGCACCATATTACCCCACAATGGCATGTATATGAGGAAAATGTGGGAACTAC